TAGATAGATAGATAGATAGATAGATAGATAGATAGATAGATAGATAGATAGATAGATAGATAGATAGATAGATAGATAGATAGATAGATCTTATTAATCTTTTAGTCTGGCCTATTCCTTTCAATAAGATATACCCTTCAGTCTTTACATTCTGTTTAGGTTTTGGCTACCAGGTGACATTAAATTGTATTCACCTTCCTGCATTAATTTTTCTGGTTTGTCTTGTCTGTTCCCTGTACTCTGTGCATTTTGTGCGCATGGTATGGATAGTAAATAATAACATGTAGCAATAACACAGTTTCACAAACTTAGTAAATTCCAGATATGTATACTGGAATTCTCATCAATGGCCACATTGGCTCAGGAATTTTGAGAGTTAATTCCCAGGCATTAGGAAGATACTAGGGTTGTGAACCACCAAATTATATATGGGAGCCTCAATTAAGGAAGAAAATGCCCATCTTTGAGCTGAGACAAAATATCTTGTTTTGAAAGTTCTAAAATAATGGTAATGATAAGGGGTGATCTCTCTTTTAAGTCTCAGCCAGATATACCTTATGTCTCTCTTTTTAAAATGTTATTTGTATTTAAAGCTGAATTATTATTTTTTAATCCTGCAGCCGCAAATAAGAAACACAGTTCAACTAAAGGTGGTCGCTCAGGAGCAGCAGGCAGCCTCTCTTTGCGAAGAGCAATGGATTGTGGGGATGGAAATATTCTTTTGAAGCCAGACTGTCAACTTTCCTCTGAAGGTATAAACATATTTGTGGAATATGTGTGCATTTGAATGCTATTTTGCTGCTGGTGAGTTTTAGATTCTTGCTCTTCTTTTTTTAAAATAAATGTTTATTTTAAACACATAAACACATCAACAAAAACAAACACATGGCTTAAAACAACATAGGAACTAGAAGTTCCATCATATATCATAGAGCAGTTCCGTATCGGTTTCTTTAGTGTTTTCCCTCCTGTACATTTCTATCTTACATTCATGGTCCCCTTATTCATTATCCATTTTTATGTACTATTCTATATTTATTTATACTTAGCTATTTATAACAAAATATTGTTTACCTATATTATGATATTCTTACTATCATTTAATTACTCTACCTTAACTTATCTTTACTGACTCCTATCTTATTACTATGTCCTTACTTTCTACTACATCATTATTTAACATTTCCCTATTTCTTATTTCTGTCCTCTAACCATTTATACCATTTCCCCCAAATTAAATAATATTCTGATTCCTCCTTTCCTCGTATTTCCTTCGTCAATTTGTCCATCTCGGCACATTCTAAAACCTTTCTTATCACCACCTCTTCTTTTGGTACTACATTGTTCTTCCAATTTTGGGCGTACGTTATTCTAGCCGCAGTTATAATATGTAGGATTAGATACAGTATTTCTCTGCTATACCTTTTTGTGGTTATACCTAATAAAAATACTTCCGGCTTCCAG